TCGCACACACTATCACACCCACCCACTCAGATGCCGCAGACAGGCGGCACAGGCTCCGGCTTGCCCTTCCAAGTCCGCCCACAGGACCCCGTTCAAGCCTCCATTCCTGGCCCACCTACTCCAGTCTGCCGGGCACAAGGCTTCCAAGAACTCATCTGTGACTCCCAAGGACGCAAGACAGTGTTCAGCAGAGCAGCAGCACCGTTTGTTGAACCAGGTGGCATAAGAGCCGCCCCGAAAAGAAGAAAGAAACGAGAGATAGGGAAGAGAAAAATCCCCTGTTGACTGGATGACCTTGGACAAGCAGCTCAGCCTCTCAGAACTTTCCGTTTCCTGGTCTGTGAAACGAGGTACGGAGATCACTCCCATCTCAGATGCTCGTTTGTGAATGTTCAGTGAGTCAAAATACTCAAATGCGCACTTGGAGTGCCCCCGTTCATAGTAAGTCTGGGGGAAGAAACGTGGCTATTTTTATAAAAGACTGTAAGAACTCCCGTCACTGAACGGAGGTAAAGACAAGTGAACATTCGTAAGAAGACGGGGGGGGGGCAGCGGTGGAGACAGTAACTTTTCCCACATGCTATCTGCGAGCGACTTCAAAGTAAACATCAGAGGGTGACCTTTAACTTTCACAAAACAAGTGGAGCATTACAGTGGGGGCCCCGTACAGGCTGGGGCAGGAAACCACGGGTGAGCCAGCTCGAAGAGTTGACACGGCGACTTAAGTCCCACGGTGCCAGGTGGAAGCTGATGTTTTGAGGGGAAATCTTACATGTGGCAGAGCCAGGGAAACAGGGTGAGGGAAAGAGTGTGGGTGGGCCGTGTGTTTGGGGGGAGAAGAGAGTAGAAGTTTCTCAGGGTATCACAGATCGGCTGGGTCGTAGCTGACTCAGTCTACAAGCGAAAAGCGAAAAGCTCTGTCGCATCAAAACTCCCACAATTGGTAAGACACACTGAAGTACCTGAGTGGGGAGAGACATTTCAGAGATTCTGAGGAAACCGAGACGCCCCGGTGAGCAAGACCCCAAAACCCAGCCAGATAAGACTCGGAGGAGCCAGCCCAGTGAGTTTCAGCTCCGTCACTCAACGTTCTGATTCATTTCTCGTGCAAGCGGAACACAGAACAGTTCTGATGACGCAGAGTTGGGGGTCCAATTTGTGGGTAGCCCACACCCTATGATTCCAACTCTCAGACAGTGGCCAGGAGATGGAAAACAAGACGACCAGATGTCAATTATGCAACCGTGATAACCGCAGGAAACCGCTGTGGCCTGCCCTCTGGGTGATTGTAGACTTAAGGGCAGAAAACTCAGATTCCCTCCCTTCTGTTGACAAGGCAGGGGTTCTAATCCTTCCCTCTCCATGGCGATGACCCTGTGGTTTCCACCATAAGGAATAAAGGTCCCAGGTGCTTGTTTAGATTCCCTGGACAACCAGTCTGACCTTAGTGAGGAGTTTGGCCAGTCGAGAGAACAGTCTGTGATTAAGGAGTGTCCCGCCAGTCCTGCATTCGGATAAATCACTTCCTGTGGCCGAGCTTTGCTTCTTATTACCACATGCGGGGAGACTGTCTTCTGCCAGCTACCTCTTAGAGGCCTGAGGGTCATGGCTAAGAGCTTGGGGGGGGGTGAGAACAAGGACACCTTGAGAAGGGATGAAAGGGACCCCAGGGTTGCCCAGGTCCAACCTCATGTGTCCACTCTAATTAATTCTGTACCTCTCTGCCTGGGCTGACATTTGTTCTGGCCACCAACCCTGGGAATTCCACCTCATTCTCTGCTACTTCCGATCCACTGCCCAAGGAGATATTCTGGGTCTTAAAACATTTTTAAAAATTAGTTTATTTAATTTACGACAGGTCCCACTATATAGCACAGGGTGGACTTGAACTCTCTCTATAGCAAAGACCCATGATCCTCCTGCTGTTGCCTGCCAGGTCCTGGGATCCTAGGACAGTTGCGTCACAGAAAGGGCCACTTTCATATTCTTCCCGTTTCTGGAGCACAGCAAGCATCCTCTCCCTTGCCTTTGACTAGAAACTTCTTCCTGACACTCCTCAAAAACAAAAAACAAAACAAAACAAAACAAAAAAAAAACAAAAATAAAAAACCGACTGGCCTTGGGCTTGCTACTCTTTTGAGAAAAGGGGATTTTGATCAGCAGAAGGGTGGTGCTGTCCCAGGAGCCTGATAGCTGACCCCTGAGTGGGATGCTCCGTGTTGCACATCTGTCTGGGATGCTCCGTGTTGCACAGCTGGCTGGGTTGCTCCGTGTTGCACAGCTGGCTGGGGAAGCCCTGTGCTTGTTTCCTGGCAGGGCCAGGCTGGGTTTGTACAAACGTTCCCCTGCCAGGTTCCGATATCGGCGAAACTATCTTTGTGGGTACAAACAAATGCGCTCATGGCTCTTGATTCAGCCGTGGACAGAAAAGGAGTCTGCCACTGAGGTAGGAAAATGCAAAGCACAGAGGCGTGCATGTAGCTTGTGGCGGGCACTTGCCTGGCATGCCCGGAGCTCTCGGTTAAACCCCCAGCCTCACAAAACAAACAAGCAAATGCACAAACACAGATGGCTGTCACGCAAGGACCTGTAAGACACGGCTAGGTGAACCCTGAGACGGAGATAATGGCCATGCTCACATGCTGGGGCACTCTGGGTACCAGGATTTTTTTGTGGCACTTCCAATTTCACATACATGTTCAAACACAAGGCAGTTTACAGGGGTTATTTTTCAGACAGTTTTGTTCTCTGTCTTAGCTAATTTTCTAATGTCCTAGATGAGTGTGTTTTCCACACATCTTTGCCACTGAGAGGTTAAGCATAGCCCGATTTTATTCATTAAAAGAATGTTTTACAGTGTGTGTGTGTGTGTGTGTGTGTGTGTGTGTGTGTGTGTGTGTGTGCTGTGTTAAACTGGGGAGGAAGTTGGAACTTGGAATTTTGTTCAGATGAGTATTTTTGATGGTAGGGATGACAATGGTAGACATGGTGGTACCGATTGGTGGAGATGGTGTTAACAGGGACTGTGGTGGTGATGGTCATGGTCATGGTGGGGATCATTCTTGACAAAAGAGAAATTACTCTCACAACTGTGACCTCATTTATCTTTGGAATAATTCAAAGAACAGTGACCATAACTTATGGCCAAGATAGGAATCACACGTAATTGCATATGTACACACATGCTGTTTTACTCCACGACACCACAGCCCTGTGAATTGGCATTATTGCTCTTCCGGCCTTACAGATGGGGGCAACGGTGTTTAAGGTGTTAAAATACACACGGGCACTGGAATTAAAACTCGGTTTGTGATTTCTGTGGACTGTTTTTCAGGATTAGCCATGCAAACAATACTTAGCTTTCCAAGGAAAAATTAATCAAGCTGTTGAGGTGTACCTGCATTCACACCCTTTAAGAAACAAAACAAAACAAAACAAAAACAAAACAAAAAAAAGCAAAACAAAAGAATATGAAGTCAGGAGGGAAATGTGTTGGATTGGGGTGGGGGTGCACAGGGAAGGAGTGTATATGTTCAAAATGCATTATATACACATAGAAAATTCTCAAAGAATACACAAACACCCCAATGCCATCCCACCTTGAAGAGCTCAGCCACGGCAGGCACCTGAGTTGCTAAAGGGACAGAATTGCTTTGCAGCCTTGGAACCCTCTGAACACCAGTCACCTCCCACAGTGTCCCATCAGGTTTTAAATGTCCACCCTTGTTGATAAAGGCAACAGCTTGTGGCTTATGAGCCAACAAAACTGCCAACCCAGGTGTCATCTGGCAACGTCACAGCCAACAATGACGGCTGGTTTGCTTCAGTGTGAAAGTATTTGGAACAGCTGTACCCGGTGCAGGGTGGCAGCTGCCGTTCATGCTCCGCTCACCATCCAGGATTTTGTGGGATAATGCTGGGTATCAGCAGATTAAACGCCAGGCTTTTGTTTCCTGCTGTATGTGTAATAGTCAGTCATGACGATGTCTGAGATACACGCCCTCTTACAGAGAAAAATGGCACAAAAGGAAATAATTAAATTATTTTTAATTATTGAAGGCAAGGATGTAAAGACATCACTAGACCCAAGATTAAATGATAAGTGGCTGTTTATTGGGGAACAATTACACAGAAAAATACAGAGAACCGCCGGAACATTTCCCTGCTCTTCCTACGGGATCAGCCCACCCAACAGAAAGAGCCAGCCAAGGAGAGCCATGCCTCAAGTCCTCTCTTTCTGCTTCTGTCAGCCTGAGGCCACGCCCAAAGGGGTGTGGCCACCACTATGGGTCCACAGACCAGACGCCTACAAATTGTGTATATGTGTGTGTGTATGTGGTATGTGTATGTGTGTGGTGTGTGTGTGTGTGTGTAGTATATGTGGTGTGTATGTGTATGTGGTGTGTGTATGTGTGAGTGTGTGTGTATGTGTGTGGTGTGCATGTGTGTGTTGTGTGAGTGTGTGTGGTGTGTATGTGTGTGGTGTGTGAGTGTGTGGTGTGTGTGTGAGTGTGTGTGTGTATGTGGTATGTGTATATGTGTGGGTGTGTGTGTGGTGTATGTGGTGTGTATGTGTATGTGTGTGTGGTGTGTGGTGTGTGTGTGTATGTGGTATGTGTATATGTGTGGGTGTGTGTGTGGTGTATGTGGTGTGTATGTGTATGTGTGTGTGGTGTGTAGTGTGTGTGTGTATGTGGTATGTGTATATGTGTGTGTGTGTGTGGTGTATGTGGTGTGTATGTGTATGTGTGTGTGGTGTGTGTATGTGTGAGTGTGTGTGTATGTGTGTGGTGTGCATGTGTGTGTTGTGTGAGTGTGTGTGGTATGCATGTGTGTGTTGTGTGAGTGTGTGTGGTGTGTATGTGTGTGGTGTGTATGTGTGTGTTGTGTGAGTGTGGTGTATGTGTGTGTATGTGTATGGTGTGAGTGTGTGTGAGTGTGTGTGAGTGTGTGGTGTGAGTGTATGGTGTGAATGTGTGGTGTGAGTGTGTGTGAGTGTGTGTGAGTGTGTGTGTGGTGTGTGAGTGTGTGTGTGAGTGTGTGAGTGTGGTGTATGTGTGTGTGTATGTGTATGGTGTGTGTGTATGTGCGTGTCGTATGTAAGTGCAGGTGCCCGTGGAGGCATCGGATGCGTTGGTGCTAGAGTTACGGGTAGTTGTGAGCCACCCAGTGTGGGTGCTGAGACCCAAGCTCAGGTCCTTGGAAGAGCAGTACCAGCCCCTCCCCCCTTTTAAAGTGAGCCGAACAAAACCCCAAATCTCTTCCTCGCTAAAGAAAACATGAAGGACCATCTGAAGCACCCATCTACCCCCCACTTTTAACAGCTGGGCTTTCTCAGCACGGCCAGGTTTGCTCTCTCTGTAGCAACAGGCTTTTCCACTCCTCGTCTCGGATGTGGCACGACTGTGCCATCCTCCCAGCTTAGATTGGGTGTGGCCTTCCCATAGCATCCTCCCTGGCTGGGCTTTATCTGAAATCACACCGTGGCCCCCTGGGCACTCCCTGCGCCTTGTCCCCGCTTTTCAGCCTCCTGGCATTTGTTACTTCGCACAGTCCATGCGTTTCCTGCTCGTTGTGTCCAGTTGTTGAAATGCAAGCTCCACAAAGCTCCACACACGCAGGGTTCTTCGCCCTTACTGGTCTCCATTTCCTCCAGTGAGTACAGCGCACGCACAGCAGAGTGAATGTTCTTGTCTGTACATTATGGTGAGACAAGTTCTCACGCAGCCCTGGCGGTCTCGAATTCCCTGTGTAGACCAGGAAGAGCAGCCCATTGCCTCTGCCTCCCGAGTGCCGGGATTAAAGGCGTGGTATTTCACGTCTGGCGTCTTGGACTCTTACATTTGTTGAGTCAATGAATGGATCCATTTCTTCTGCAAAGCTATCAAGAAACTGCCAGTGACGGATCCGACTGTGGTTTACTCATCCTCTACTGTTGCCGGGACACTGTGCAAGGCCTTTCATGTCTAAGAGAGACAGCCTTGGTTTAGAAGATGCCACTAGAGCTAGAGAGATGAGCCCACAGTCAAGACCATTGGCTGCTCTCCCACAGGACTCCGGTTCAATTCCCGGCACCCACGACTGTCCCCCAGCTCCTGCCCATTGCCTTAATAGCGTAGCCTTTTACCTCCCAAAGTATGAGAAGCAGAGAGTTATGTGTGTCAGTACATGGATGTTTTAGTATTCACTGGTCAGGCTCTGGACTGGACCTCAGAGATCCCCTGACCTTCTGTTCCTTCTGTCTGGAACATTCCAGATGTCCTTGAGGCACCTTCTAGGCCCTCCTTCAGGACGGGACTCAAATATCACTTTCTCTGTGATCTCAATAATGACTTTATTTAAAACACACATGCGCACGGGTGTGCGCACACACACACACACACACACACACACACACACACACACTCCTGGTCCCATCTCTCCACTGCTAGTTACCCAACCTTAGTGTTCTTTCTAGCACTTTCTCTACCTGACATGGGATATTTATTTTCCGTCTGTTCCTGTTAGTATCTAAGGTCTAGAAAACAGGCGCATGACTGTTTTGCTTAGTATACAGAACTCAGAACCAGCAGAGAAGGAGGAAGGGAAAGAGGGAGGGATTGTGCAAAATGCTGTGGGTGTCATTACTTGGGTGCTATGCAACTTGTTTTGCTTTGATTATTTTGTTTTAAACTGAATCTCTCACTGGGATCTGAATCCACCAGTTCATCTGGGTGCCACCACACCCCCAGGCAGGACCTCTCCAGCACTGGGATTACAAGTGTTGAAGGGGCTCTGAGGCTTGAATTCATGTCCGGTAACATGCTAACAGGCCTTAATAACAAAAGCCCAGAGTCTGATGGAGAGAAAATGCTGAGAGATCAGAGAGACGGAGGAACAAAACCACAGCCACCTTAGATACTCAGCTTCCAACTGAAAAGAGAGTGCGCTCCTGACTCCTCCCGCCTTATCACTCCCTCTCTGCCCAGTCGCCTCACTTCCTGTCTGTCTGTACAGACCTCCCGACCTCTATGGTTAACTAGTGGCAAGCTCCGCCCTCTGCTCTTCAGGCAAGCTTTATCTGTTGGAGCATAGACAAGACATCGCCACACTGCCCTCATACCCAAGCATTAGATTGAAGAATATCTTACCTGGGAATGTACGTTCACCCATCTCACTCTGCGTCTTGGTTCCGGATCAGCGAGACCAACTGGCCAAGTTCCTGTTGTCCTGGCTCCCTGCCACGATGGACAGAAACTGGCAGTCATTCCCCGGACGTCCCTGTCACCCGGGATCAGCTACACCACTAACAACAACTTTGGTCAGGTTTGAATGTTCTCAGTCTGAGCCTTGAGACCTCTGCTCCAAGCTGCATTCTAGAGAAATCTGCCAGGGGTTGCGGAAAGCTAACCTGGAGAGCCACAAAGAAAACAAGGCCGGGGAAGTGCCTCTCCTCACCTTTTTGGGAGGCAGAACTCAGGACCTGGAGGAAGAATTAACCACAGTTTCTGCTTCTATAAACAGAGCAGAAATCACAGCTCACGCTGCGCTGAAGACAGCCAGGGCTTGAGACGAGTTCTAGAACCAGATGGCTAATTAATCATAAAAGTGTTCTAGGGGCTGGAGAGATGGCTCAGAGGTTAAGAGCACTGGCTGCTCTTCCAGAGGTCCTGAGTTCAATTCCCAGCAACCACATGGTGGCTCTCAACCATCTGTAATGAGATCTGGTGCCCTCTTCTGGCCTGTGGGCATACAGACATATGCTGTATACATAATAAATAAATAAATGTTAAAAAAAAAAGTGTTCTAAGGGCAATGAGGAGATGAAGACACAAGGCTCAGGGAACCTCGGGAGACACTAAGAATTTATTTTTATTTTTATTTTATGTACATTGGTGTTTTACCATGGGTGTCAGGTCCCCTGGAACTGGAATTACAGACAGTTATGAGCTGCCATGTGGTTGCTGGGAACTGAACCCATGTCCACTGGAAAAGCAGCTGGTGCTCTTAACCATTGAGCCATCTTTCCAGCCCCCCAACACCTAGAATGTTGAACTAGGTCTCAAGACGTCTTGGGTCTGGACTTGAGGAGGCGTCAGAAGGTTAAATGCAGATTAAAGAGACTGCCAGCGGTGAAGGAGCCACTCCGACACGTGAAGTCTGGTGGCGACAAGAACCTGGGACACGTCAAGGGTAACAGTGCTAACCGTTTTACCTGGGAGAGGTCACATCATCTTTGTAAACCCCAATTCTATCACCTTCCCTAGCATTATCTGTGGTTAATTAGAATCTAAAAGAAATGTTCTTGGCCTAAAATGCGTTTAGATGCTAGATACAATTATCCATTCATCTAAAAACGAATATCTCATTTAATTTTTCCCTACCAGACAAATTTATGTTAGGTGTTGGTGGGAGATGTCATTCTGTAAATCTGTCTCTTATTGGTTGTTGAATAAAGCACTGTTGGCCAATAGGGAAGCAAGATAGGTGGGACTAGGAGTCAAGGAGGATTCTGGGAAAGAGAGGCAGAGTCAGACACCATGCAGACTGCCAGAGCAAGAGGTCCGGACCCTTTTCTCCAGTAAGAGAAATACTTAGATTAACAATTATGGGTTAAATACTTAAGTCAGAGATAGCCAGTAAGAAACCAAGCAAACGGCCAACAGCTTCATAATTAATATAGCATCCTGTGTGTTATTTGGGGGTTCAGACAGCACTGCAGGGTCCAGGCGACTGGCAAGAAAGACAACACTCAACAAGATGTCAACTCGATTCCGGCAATCTGGCAAAAAAAGACCTTAGAAGTCAGATAATTAAATGGCCACTAATTTGAATTAAAATAGGCCCCAAAATTCTGCAGTCCTCAGAGACACGAATTCATGTTGGAAATTTTTCAGTTTCAACCTTCTGGAAATGGATAGTAGAGATATTGATAATCTTGAAATTTGTCAGAAAAACCAGCTCCACTGTTTTGGCTGAGTTTAAGAAAGCTTTTATTTAAAACATTAAATACTGTCTAAGATGGAATTTTGATCAGAACCAGCAGCCTGGAGACAAGTGTTGGTGGGGTTTATATGGGCAAACCTCATAGGCCACCAAACTTTCCCATGAGGCTTTGTTGTTATTTTCCAAGAACTCCAACTCCCAGAATCCCAGGAAGCTACCTGGTCAGGTGTTATCTTTTAAGAACTCCAACTCCCAGAATCCCAGGAAGCTACCTGGTCAGGTGTTATCTTTTAAGAACTCCAACTCCCAGAATCCCGGGAAGTTACCTGGACCTTGGGCAGGTGGACACTATCAGTTAACTTTGGATCTAACAATGTCCCATAACATTCTGAAGGTACTTAATGTCACTAAATTGCATGACTAAAATGGCAAAATTTCCTATATTGTGTGCTTTACCACACAAAAATTTCCTTTTCATTCTCTTTCCAGTAATAAGCCTTAAGACCTGTGCTTTGTGGTTGACCAACCTGCACCTCTTTTATTTAAGATTATTTGGTTAAACGGCAAAGGAATTTACACAAAGGGTTTTAGGTACCCGAAGACTTATCAGGAAGACTAGAGAAACAGGCAAGGAGAGTGTTGGCTTTTCTACATTGTCTACTTTCAGAGTAGGCTGGTGTGAGTCTTCTAGAAGTCTCTGCTGGGCACGCCAAACTGATGAAGACCAAGCCACTTGCCCGTGTTGTAAAGAAATCTGAGAAAATGTCGCCTCTAACCCCGAGTGCCTGTCTCTTCCTGGAAGTTCCGCCCATACTCTCTCCTGCCTAGCTACTGGCTGTTCAGCTCTTTATTAAACCAATCAGGTATTTTAGGCAGGCAGTGTTAACACAGCTTTACAGAGTTAAATGAATGCAACACATCTTTGCATCATTAAACTAATTTCCCACAGCATAAACGAATATAGCACATCTCAAACTAAGATCCCACAACACGTGGCAGCTTCAGCCACGTGGGTCTGGCTTTAGAGCCAGGATAGAAGGAAGGGGTTAGGGATCGCCCTCTATGACTAAGGGAAGCCTCTGAGGGCCACACACGTGTCAGGGATGTCCCCGCACACACGGAGGTGTGAGGAGGCCATTGTATGAAGCCTGGAGACCCCACAACGCTGGGCGACGCCAGAGCCATGGGACACCTGCTCAGGAGAGCTGCCAGCAGGGAGTGGAGCCAGCCCCTGAGAAAGAAGGGTTGCAGCCAACAAACCTGAAAAGAGCTGGAGACCTGGAGAGCTTTGACATCAGGCATGGAGATGCAGAGTTTGTGTCCGTCCAGTCCGTCATTGCATCTGTCTGCTGAGTCTTGTCAGTGTCTCTCAGTCCCATCTAACCTGGAGGAGACCTCTTCCCCCACTGACTTGGGGTAAGCCTGTCATCTCGCTGAAATGTCCACGTCTCCGCTTTGACTGGCTCCTTTCTCCTAGGGCCCTCTCCGGCTTGGATCCCCCCTGTCCTCCTCTCCTCTCTAGATCAAATATTACGGTTCATGCTTGGGTGCGGTTCAGGCTCGGCGTTTCCCCCAGCGCACTCCACTGGTGGTGCCGTCTGCCTGCTTGTTTTTAAACGTCTTTGGAGGGACACGCCTCGTTAGCTACGCTGAAACCTCTCCTGTGGTGATGGGCTGATCTCGCTGCTGTAAACTATCACCCGTCGATAACCACTGCTATCGTTCTTTGATTTCCTCCAGAATTCACCTCACTAGCAATTCAGTGTAGAAGAAGAACGCGCCATTATCCACATGGCATTTGGTTATTCTGACATCTGGCTCACAGCACAAAGGGATGGCAAATTCTGAGTTTTTAAACATCACTGTTTTAACTGAGTTACATTTAGAATGCATTTGAGGAGATAGATTTTTTATTTCCTTTTTATTGCACTGAGTTAATTAATTAATCGAGACAGGGGCTTTTCTACAGAGCCCTGGCTATCGTGGAATTCACTACATAGACCAGGCTGGCCTCCAACTCTGCCTCCTGGATGCTGGGATTAAAGCTATGTGCCACCACTCCAAGGCTAAAAAAAATTTCTTTTTGTTTGTTCTTAAAAACAGTTCCAGGGATGGGACTCAGGTTGTTAGGCCTGGCGCCAAATCTTTACCCACTGAGCCAGCGTAACAGCCTGGAAATCAATTTGTAAGAACATATGTAATGAATATTTGATAATGTCAGATTAGCTTTTGGTATCCCCTTAATCTGCAAAGTACCATCCTTGAAGGCCTGAAGAGGCAGTGTTGAGGAGGAGAGGGGCAGGAAGGAGAGGGAGGGGAAGGACAGGAGATGAGAGGTCCCCTTGGCTTACAGAAGTAGTCCCCAAGTGGGAAATAGCATCACCCTGCTTGGAGTACTTTGCCCCCTCGAGAGACCACCTGGGAGAGCGTTCGGAGTCCCACAGGGGCAGAACTCTAGGCTGCACACTGCTCCGCCCTGTGAGTCAGAAATCAATACGGAATCTTAGCAACAAATCCGATGATAGGTGGGTGGACCTCATCCCAACCGGCGAGCTTTTATGTCCGTTTAGGAATCATCGTGGCTCCGGCTTTCCTTCGAGATAATCCCTGAACATCCACGCATGACTCAAGCCAAATATTTGTTACCGTTCAAAGTATTCCACACCGTACCCAGATTCTCTCCCAGCCGGTGAGTCACGGCTCACACGGGCCGGGCGCCAGCTGCACCTGACAAGGCGGCTGACTCTTCCCCGCAGCCGCGTTTATTAGCATCCCATCCGCCTTAAACGCTGGGCTGCGCCCTCTCAGGCAGGGCTTAGAATGAGGGCTCGAGAGCTGTTTTAAAAAAGAAAGAAAGAAAGAGCAATGTCTGGGAAACGGCAAAGGCTGTAGACGGGAAGCCCACCACGCCACGTTCAGGGCAGCTTCTAACAAGAAAAGCAGTAAAGAAATAGCAATTTATGCCACTTAGAGGCAAACCGTCCTTCCATCTGGAGTGGCTGAGGAGGGAAAGCACCCACACCAGGGATGGGGAGCGGGCTCCAGGGAGGTGCCTGCCTGGATTCGGGACACGCGCGCGCGCGCGCACACACACACACACACACACACACACACACAGGAATAGCAGGGGGTAAGGGGGGGCAGAGAGGGAGCGGAAAGCCACCCGGTGAGATCCAGATGGCATTTTACGCTTTTGTGTCTTGTGAATGCTCCTTTCCAGGGGGTCTAACCCCGGGCTCAGCGGCTGGAGGGGAGAAGGAGCGAGCATACCAGTTACTGTCAGCCTCTCCTGGGTGCAAGAATCCTTTCCTAGGGCAGGAGAAGTCATCAGGGGCGGGAGTCAACTTCATCAACCCAGACTCCACACGAACCATTTTTCCCCCTCAGCCCTCTGCCTGAGGCAGTTTGGAATCACCGAGGTCACTGTCACCCCAGTGTGCTTCAGGGAATCCCATGAGCGTTAGTTAGAATTCCACAACGCAGGACGTGGGGCCCAGCCACAGTGCTACGGAGACCCCTGACAGCCGCATTCCTACACTGTCAACCCCAGTAGAATCTGCTGTGCTAGGTAAGCGGGCTGGCCGGCTCCAGACTGCCCTGTTGAGCCACAGCAAGGAGCCAGGAGCACTTTATCCTGGATCCTGGCCAAGGGGTAACCTATCAGCCGCCCTTCTTGCCTGCCTGCGGGGAATGTTTAGCAGTGAGCCATCCCCAGATCCCTTTTAAGTTTGGTGGGGTCCTCCTCCTACCGGCCAGGTAAACACCAGCAGGAGAAGGCCAGATGCCAAGCTAGGGCCTCATCTGCCTTTTGGAAACCCTATCAGTCAAGTCCTCATCCTGCATTAAAGAGAGCAGCGCCTCTCAGCATCCTGGGACTAACCCAGGGGTCAGCTTGACCCACAACAACGGACTACTGTTAAACTTGCCTAGTTGGGTACCATTTAACAAGGTGGGGGGGGGGCGCCCCCGCAAGGCCAGACGATAAGAACAAAGCAAGACTGCGGTACAAAATGGGTTTGAAAGCAAAACCTTCCGTGCAAGACTCTCCAGAATGTCTGCCGGCAGGGCCGTGAGGACTGCCTGCCTGCTCCGCATCCCTGTAAGGAAGGCAGTCTGATGTGCAGAAGGTTCGGTGGGTGAATTAAGGGAAAGGAGACTTCTCTTCCCAACAGCCAGTAGCCCGTGTTCTCACATTGCTCCAGAGCGGACTCTGGCACCGGTCCCCGAAGCTCCTGTCTGCCCTCTGTTTCCAGGAGACCTTGAGGGTGGGAGCCTTCATTTATAGGAGCCAAAATGTATCAAATTGGCGTCTGGGGGGAAATGGTTCAGAAATACAGCCTGCTTGGCTTCCTTCCATAAGACCCAGATTTGAGCCTCCCCCTTCAAAAACAAACCAATCCTACTGCTGCTAATCAAGTAGCATGAATATCTTCTCTCCTTCCTCCCTGCCTTCCTCCCTGCCTTCCTCCCTGCCTTCCTCCCTGCCTTCCTCCCTGCCTTCCTCCCTGCCTTCCTCCCTGCCTTCCTCCCTGCCTTCCTCCCTGCCTTCCTCCCTGCCTTCCTCCCTGCCTTCCTCCCTGCCTTCCTCCCTCCCTCCCTCCCTCCCTTCCTTCCTTCCTTCCTTCCTTCCCAAGGCTCCACTATGTAGTCCTGGCTGCCCTGGAACTCACTATATCAGTGGCCCTCAACCTTCCTAGTACTGAGACCCTTTAATACAGTTCCTCATGTCGTGGTGACCCCAACCATGAAATTATTTTCATTGCTACTTCGTGACTGTAATTTTGCTACTGTTCCGAATAGTAATGTAAATATCTGTGTTTTCAGATGATCTCAGGTGACCCCTGTGAAGGGGTTGTTTGAACCCCCCAAGGGTTGTGACCAACAGATTGAGAACCATTGCCCTATATAGACCAGGCTGGTCTTCCATTCAAACAGTAACTCATGGAGATCTGCCTGTCTCTACCTCCTAAATTTGGAATTTTACTTATTTTTTACATTCCAATCCCACTTACCCCTCCTTCCTCTCCTCCTGCTTCCCAACCCCCCCCCACTTCCCATCTACTCCTTGGAGAGGGTGAGGCCTCCCCTAGGAAGTCTACTAAGTCTGTCCCATCATCTAGTTGAGGCAGGACCAAGGCACCTCTCCACCCCCACCCCCCTGTGTCTAAACTGGGCAAGGTGTCTCTCCATATAGAATGGGCTCCACTAAGTCAGTTTGTGCATTAGAGTTAGATCCTGGACCCACTGCCAGTGGCCTCATATATTGTCCCAGCCATACCATTGTCACCTGTATTAAGGGAGTCTAGTTCAGTCTTATGCAGGTTCCCCATTTGTCAGACCTGAGGCAGTGATCTCTCTCTAGCTCGGGTCAGCTGATTCTGTGGGTTTCCCCATCAGGGTCTTGACTCCTTTGTTCCTATTATCGCTCCTCCCTCACGTTCAATTATGAACGTTTTCTTTCTTAGGCAGCTGATAACTCACGAAGTTGGGTATCAGCAGAGTGTGTCCTAAGGGCTGGCAGTAAGGGCCTTGCTATGCAACATTGTTGTTGCCACGCTGGAGACAGAGAAATGGTCCATTTTCTCTGAAAGTCTGACTGTGTTAGTCCAGGAAATGAATTGACGTAGGCAGAGAAGGAAAAGAAGGCGTACACACAAGTTAATTAACACGCAGAGACAGGGGCGCCAAATAGCACATGTGAAATATTGTGGGTGTTCACCGGGTTTAAGCCAATAGGAAGCCTTCATTACTTGGCTGGCAAACACCCAGGGTGTTCAGATCCCAGTGTATAGCCTTGAACCTTTCTCAGGGTGGATTTTTAAGCACAAAACCCTGTTCTGAGTTGACATACTTCAGTTAACAAGAACAGTAACCCAGAAGCAAAACTATAGAAGCCAACAAACAAGGTTAGGACATCTAGAGACTTTCCCAGGACTGTATGGACTTTGATGGATTGGGCCTCTGTGTTGGTTTTGGCAGGTGGTGCTGTCTACGTGCTGAATTTTACAACCTGACTGGTACTTCCATCATGGAGTCAGTCGAGCTAAGGTGGGGAAGGCGGGGAGAGTTGTTACACAAGACACGGGAGCCTGAGCAGTTGAAGCTTTCTTAGGTAGAGGTATGAGGTCTCTGGAGAGAGGTAGCAGACAGATTATAAGACGATGGATAAGGATGTCGCATCTCCAGGGTGGTTATGGTCATCTCTACCTGGGCCAAGGGTCATTATGTTTCCTTGTGAAAAAGAAGACGTCCTAGGGAAGCGGGGTCCTCAGGCAGGAAACCTGGGCCTGCATCCTGTAACGTTCCTTACTGTAGCTACGAGGGACTAGGACAGAGCCCTGACAGGGAGAGGGACCGCAGCTCAATACTACAGACGTCAAACTCACAGCTGCTTCCCTGCACTCCTGACCTGATCCAAAGGTCTGGCCGTTTCAAACAAAGGCCTTGCCGGCTTGGATTTTTCTCCTGTCGGTGGCAAGATCCTCTCCCCCAGCAGTGGGCCTGTCCAACAAGTTCAAGGCCAGTTCTGGACATGGGACATATTTACCCCTAATTTGTGGCCCTATCAGCTCCCCTTTGTTGAAATTGACCAACCCTAAGTTAGGGGACAAAGACCCTTAAACCTCCCCAGCCGTTGAAGAGAAAGCAGATTTCGGACTCCTAAGTACCTGTCTTTGCAAAGGACCTTGCTGTGTGTGTGTGTGGTGTGTGCGTGGTATGTGCATGTGTACGTGTGTGTACATGTATACATGTGTGTGTGTGGTGTGTGCATGTATACGTGTGTGTGTGTGTGTGTGTGTGTGTGTGTGTGTGTGTGTGTGGTGTGTCTGTCCCCTCACTGGGAACTTTCGCCTCCTGTGTCTGAGATTTTCCCCGACACTACTTGTCACACCTGAGATTTTTTTTTTCCTGCCTGTTAATTATTTAACTGGCAGAGAAAACAAACCTGATCAAGGCCCCTTGAGGGTAACAGCTCCCTTTTTACAGAAGGGCTTTTCTTTGGAGTCCCTGCTGTGTCAGATCTGCAGATCCTGTTAACCAACTCCAGTTATGTAAAGAAATCTATCGGGGTGGCGGTTTTGGTCTCCCGTGTGCATTCATGGAAATGCCGGAGGGAAGAGAAGAGGGCGGCGCAGCCAGCATCAACCGTTTCCTATGTAGGGCAAAGGCAGGCACCTCAAACACAAGCAAGCGAGTGAACCTTAGAGGTCCCGGTTTGTAGGCTCCATGAAGTATCCAGCTACTGGGGGTCCCCTTTCACACACACACACACACACACACACACACACACACACACACACTGTGTTCAATCGAAATGCATTTTGTTATTTGGGAAGTTAATACAATGTGTTTTCATCATATTGACTTTATTCTTTTTGTATTTTTCTGAAATGTCTCATGTAGCCAAGGCCGGCCTAGACTCCTGACTCTTCTGTCTCCCCCTCCCAAGTGCTGTTAAAGGCCACCACACCCAGCTGGGGATCCCCATCACATCCATCCCGGAGGGAATGGGGTTACCCTAGAGCGACCCTTGTACACTTCTCTTGAACAGACTCTTGAGACAACGAACCCCTAAGAAATTGGAATTTCCTCATGAGTGTCACACTGCAAGAAGGAACGGGCTGAAGCCTGGCCTCAGCCAGAGGGTGAGCTTGTCTCCCAGACAGAGTCATGTACTTGTGACAACTTGTCAGCTGCCTTGCAGGGCAGACTGGAGTCCAGACAGTGGTGACAGGATTGCCTCCTGTCTGGCACACACGCTGGCCCTCTAAGTCTAAGTGTCAAATCAGGACTTAGAAGATGAATTTTAAGAGTCACAGGACCTCTTTGATGCTCTTCCCAAAGTGGTCATGTTGGATAAACTTTTTTCCCTCTGTTTTCACTATTAATTGGCCTATTGAGGAAGGGTTGGCAGAGCCTCTCTTGTTAACGCCACCAGATTCCACACCCTCAGCCTAACAACCCTAGCGACACTATCTAGGCTTCCTGGGCAATGACATGTCAGGGAAGGGAAGCAAGATGCAGCCCCTGAACACAAATGATATCACCAGGTTGACCCAGAGTGAGGCAAGGTGCCACGGTGGTCAGTCACTGAGCCACAACAGGAAGTAGAGGGGCTAGGGGAGTTTCAGGGGGAGTGAAGGGTGGGATACCAGCCTTAAAGAGGGGCTGGAGGGGCCACCAGATGCCCCCACCTCATTCTCAACATCTCCTGCAGGCAGGATTGTAATAAATATGCAAGCTGTTTGTGGGATGCATATTTAGAAGAAGCTTAACCAGCTCTCTCTTTCCATTTGTACGCTCTCCACCACATTTACCATCTTACATGCACAAGCAGAACTCTAAAAGGGAAGACGTTTCCATCTCCTTAGGGAAGACGTTTCCATCTCCTTTACCAGACGTGTCCCGAGAATACCGCCTTATCGCAGGCAGAAAGATGGGGGTACTCTGAAGATACGCTCTGCCTGCTGCTTCTCAGGGGTTTCTGTGACCACTCTTGGAGTCCAGCAATCGGGCTGCCGCCTGCATGAATAAGTAACTGGAATGTGCAGGAGAGGCGTACCAAAGTGCACGCTGGCCTCTAGGCTCAGCCAGTACCCGAGACCTCTCCGGTTCAGGGGCTTCCCCTCCCTTCCTGCAGTTTCTCAGCTGTATAACCCTGCTGTTTTGGCTGTGTTCTTAATTCTCCTTAGCACCTCTTTGTTCTCTTGACCCCTCTCTCTCTCTGACTTCTCTCTCTCTCTCCCCTCTCTCTTCCATCTCTCTCTCAGACCTCTTCCCTCCTCTCCCTCCCCCCTCTCTCTCTCTCTCCCTCCCTCTCCCTCTCTCTCTCCCTCCCTCTCTCTCCCTCTCCCTGCCTCCCTCCCTCTCTCTCTCCCTCCCTCCCTTCCTCTCTCTCTCTCTCCCCTCTTCCCCCTCTCTTTCCCCTTCCTCTCTCCCTCCCCCTCTCCTCTCATGGCCCTGTTCAGTCTGCCAGCCACATTTCAGTCCACGATTCTCTCTTCCCTGCTCTGGATTCTTCCCGATGCCTGACTGTGCTCTCCCTCACATCTACAGTAAAACCCTTCTCTCCCCAACCATCATGTCCTCATTTCCATTCAAGGGGATCACAGAGCCCCATGGCCCTCAGACTTCAATGTGTTCAAGAATCACCCGTCTCTAGTTAAAAAGGAGATTCTTAGTCCTCATAGATTCCCATTCAGTGCTTCCAGGAGCCCAAGAAAATGCTCGACGTTAAAGAAGCCAAAGCCGTGGGATTTGATGTCGGTGATCTGAGGCACTCGCTTTGAGGATCAGTAACAGAGTTGAGGGAAAAAAATGCCTCTGTTATAAAAGGTGGCACGGACCACCCGGCTGAGCCGTTGTATAGCTGGGGTAGACCTGGCCCTTCCCACTGCTGTGCCAAACATTCCCGCTCTTAATACACGTTTGTAAGTTCTGAGTGTATGCTGGTTACCATGGGAACATGAGAACGGGATGACGTCCAAACTGACTGTAGCTGGGTTGGGAGGCACAGATATACAACTATCCTTAGAGAAACCCAGCTCCGTGGTTTTTTATCACTTCTACTTCCCTGTAAACCCCTTGAAAACCGTGAATACGCTTCTGCGACTTGCCGACGTCATGATGGAACTCCTCGTGAGCCAGGATATACACATGGAGGTTGCGCTTGAAAAGACGCGGGGAAACTGTGTAGTGAGACTTGGTGTAATTTAATGCTGGTGAGGCCTTTGAGATGGTCTTCAAGGGAATGTGTTCACTGGTGAGAACTCAATAAGATTTTTAGAAGTTGTAATGAACAGATAAACGAAAGATGATAGTTGGTCTAAGGGGGCTGCAATGGAAAAAAAAAAACGTCATGGCTGGTTGGGAGCATTGGGAGGAAGTGTCGGGACTTGGGGGTCAGATCCCAGAGGACCCTCTCACCGAACGAAGGTGGCTCACACGGTTTCCTAGGAGAGGTCTTTGTGGTGGCGTGTCTGCCACTGCAGCTGATGGAGGAGAGTCACGGTGGGCCACACAGTAAGTTCCAGGCTGGGGTGCTGTTGCTGCCACAAAACCCTCAGCACCTCATAGTAACTTTCCGGATCTCTCCGCCGGGTACGCATATCCCAAGGGTGGCCCACACAGCCTGGGCTAAGGTGTGGTTCGAAAGGAACTCACACCAAAGTCCCCTTCACATGAGCTTTGTTGGGAGAAAGACTCAGGGCCACAGGCTGCCAGGGAGAGCGTTGGGGTGGACACAGCAGTATGGCCATGGACAGGCGTCGTGGGGCCTTGAAGGGAAAGAAAGCCTTCATTGAAATCCCAGACTATTAAGAGAGTCCACACAGTGTGCTTTCAGGCAGCGTCAGTGGTCCCTGGGAATGTAGCACAAATAATGCAAAACCAGACACAGACGTCGGGGTTCAAGCTGAAGATCAGAGAAGCAAAGCAACCAAACCACTAGAGAATTCTCACCTCTACCAAGGCTAAGACCAAAGAGGGGTGGTCCTGTCCTCGGCGTGACTGCAGCCTGCAATGCACTCCACCAAACCTCAGACTGCCCTGAGACTGCACTGAGCTCCTGCCTTATATTCCTCTCTGGTGCTGGGGTCAAAGGTGTGAGCTCTGTTTCTCATTTAGACTGATTCATACTCAAGTAGCCCAGGGTGACCTTGAACTCACAGAGATCCATCTGCCTCTGTCCACCCCCCCCCAAGTGCTGGGATTAAACGTGTGGCCACCACTGCCTGTCCTCTATGGCTAGCAAGTGGCTTTGTGTGTGTGTGTGTGTGTCTAACTAGTCACTCAGGGGTGTGTGTGTGTCCGTGTGCGCACGTCTAACTAGTGGCTTAGATCTGCACTCTGATATCTGGGCAAGCTTTTTCTTTTGTTGGATTACAAACAATATATCACCACACTGAGGAGAGACACACACCTCTCAGTTCTGGAGAACAGCGAGGCTTTCCAGCTTCCATAGGTTTGCAGGGACGGAGGCAGGCTTCACACCAGGTGACCCAGCCATGTGCCTGAGATCATGGAGGCAGGCAGTGGGCAGGACCATAAATGCATCCAGCAGCTGCCGGAAGGAGGGAGGGCATCGAGGCACAGCACAGCACATCAGCAGAGCAGCGTGGCCTCATTTCTGGGAGAGAAAAAAAGGCATCTGGGGGAGGGGGAGGGGTCTGCCACCTATCAGGTGACAGAGCAGAATTTCCTGGGAGACGGCTCAACGCATTTCCCCAGCCTCTGCTTTCCTGATGTGGGTGTTGCTCAGTCTCCTGAGGTAATGGGATTGCTGCTGCTTGTAGGTTGACAAGGTCTGGGCAGCTTTGGGCTCCATAGCAAGCATCTACAAGTCTGTGTTCTGATGGGGGATGGCCTTCTGCATGCATGTTTCTCTTATTGGCTGATGAATAAAACCATGTCTGGCCAAGAGAGGCAGGGAGATAGGCGGGGCTAGGAGACTAGGAGGGGCTGGGAAGGGTAGGCGGAGAAGCACCAGAAAGGGTCACAGTGTGGAGATGTGGGGGTGGGGGTAGAACATGCCAGGTGTCCTCTGGTGAGATGGGGCCATGTAGAAATATAATGATTGGTGGTTATGGGTTAATAGTTAAGACAGAGCTAGCCAATAGGAGGCCCTAGCCATCGGCCAACAGTTTGATGATTAATATAAGTCTCTGTGTGTTTATTTGGGTCTGAGAAGGGCAGCAGGACCTGGGTGGGACAAGAACCACCGCAACAATGTTTTTGCCCTACTATCTTGATAGCGAGAAGGATGCCCTGAATCTGTCAATGAGCCTATTGCCACAAGAGAGCCTTGCCTGTGCTTACCTCATCCGAATCTCAGTGAACTAAATATAGGTCGGGTACATAATTACCTCATTGTCTCCAGCCACATCCTTGGCTATGGGGCTATGATGCTGTCCATCTCGGGAGCCTCAGCAGCTCAGCACATTGTAAGCACAGTTGGCAGCCAGCACATCTCCCGCATAACGGGCATCTGTCGTGGCGTGCTTTGGGCACAGCGACCCGGACTCTTTATCATTTTCCTGCGTTTTCTGTTAACATTTGAAGAAGCACTTTCTCTCACAGGGTGACAGGGAGGTTTTGGAAACTTTGTAGCATGGGGAGTTCACAACCATAACGAAAGAATCCATCTGTTTCAGTTAAGGTTTCTATTGCTGTGAAGAGACACTACGACCACAGCAACTCTTAGAAGGAAAACATTTGGTTGAGGTGGCTGGCTTACAGTTTCAGACGTTGAGTCCATTGTTGTCATGGCGGGATATGGTGGCAGGCAGGCAGACAGGGCTGGAGAGGTAGCTGAGAGTTCTACACCTTGCAGGCATTGGGAAGTGGTCTCAGAGTCACCCTGAGCAAAGCTTGAGCAGAAGGGACCTCAAAGCCTGCCCCCCACAGTGACACGCTTCCTCCAAAAAGGTCATACCTGCTAACAGTGTCACTCCCCTATGAGATCATATGAGGGCCAATTACATACACACTACCACGTATCCAACTTGGTTTCTTCCTAAACAGAATTTTCACATCAGTGTTAGCAGTGTCACTGTGGGGCTTTGGGAAGGAAAGTGAAATCACCCAAGGTCAGATAAAGGTCAAATGTGCCCAGGAGTTAGAGCTGAAGCTGGGGACCCAGGCAGGAATGCCTTGGGAGACATACCCTCAGAAGCTGCAGCCGGGAAGGCAGTGTGGGACAGACACATCACTACCATTCTGGACAGCCTGTCAGGTATTGTGTCTTGCACATGGATGCCAGCCTTCTTTCCGACGGGCGTTTCTGAATACATATTCGGTCCTCTGGTCTCAGCGAATGTCAGCTTTTGCTAACTTCTCACTTTCTCAAGTGGTGTGACCTCTCACGCCAGGAGGGTTGGGGGAAGTCAGCTCCTCAGAGAGAAGTTACTCAAAGGGAAAGCCAGAGGTCATATTTGAAGGGCGTGCGTCAGCCTTGTGGTAATGACAGCTGAACATCCTGTCATCTCAGTGACCAGTCACACTCGGTCCAGGGAGACACACACCCTGTGAGAGGCCTGGAAGGGACCAAGTCATTAATACCTCGCCCTAAATTATTGCAAGGACCTCCTTCTCTGTGGTCAGAGATAGTCATGGCCCATACTATTTCCAGTCTTGTCCTCCTCCTATCTCTTCTCCTTCTTTGATTATGTCAGTCAGGGGAGAAAATAGTGAAATAAACTTTGGACTCCAACTCGAGGGCCAGCAAGGTGGTTCAGTGACTTGTTTGCCACCATGCCTGCCTACTTGACTCTGAACCCTGGCACCCACACAGTAAAAGCAGAGAATCAGTCAACTCCCCAAAGTTGTTCTGTGACCCCCAACATTGCACCATGACATGCACACACACACACACACATATATACACACATACATATGCACACACATACACAAACACACAGACCACACACACATATACATACACACACACACACATATATACATACACATATATACACACACATACACATACACCATTACCACAAATAAATAAGACTAGCTTTAACTGTCTTTTTATTCCTGGATGTGTATAAGGTGCAAGTCCTTAGCTGAGTGCAAATCCCTATATTCCTGCCACTCATCCACTCTGTCAGTACTGTGACACCCTCTTCCGGAAACAATACTGGAGGCCACACCCCCAAGCTCCGTCTCTCTGTCACATCCAGCCAAGAGCCCCGTGTCACCCATCCACCCACCCAAACAACAGATGTTTTTTTCCCCATCCTCTCCTGAACACTCAGTTTTACCACAAATACTGATACATTTTGGTTACAAGTTGACTTGCCAGATTTAGCAAATGGAAACACAGTCACCCGGTTGAAGCAGTCACCCAGTTGCGTTTCCACTTCAGACAAGCCACGACAAACAAAACTTGCAATACCTGTCCTGGTGCAATATCTGGAACATGCTTAGGACTTTTAAAAGTTATTTATTTGAATTTCAAGTTTGACTGGATGCCCTGTGGGGTCTTTGTTTGCTTGTTTTTTCCTGGTAGCAACAGCAGCAAGCCACAGCTCACTGGTTTAGGTAACTGGGAAGCCTGGAGGCTGTGTTGGCATTCTCTCAGCCTGGCCTGACATGGGAGTCTAAAAGATGTCATCAGGAACATGGTTTCCTCTTTTCCCTCCACTAGGTCATCCTATATTGAGTTAGCTATATTTGAAGATAGGGATCAGTTCTTATGGGTCCAAGACAGCTATAAACTTCTTGATTTGGTCTATTTTGAGACAAAGTCTCAATATTGAGTGTAGGCTGTCTGGGAACTCATGACAGTTCCCCTGCCTCCTCCTCTGTCTCCTGAATGCTGCCATTAGAGGTGTTGCTCCTATACTTGGCAAGACAGATAAAAGACAGTAATAGAATGATAATATTTTTATAGTTAAAATACCTGGAAGATAAAGGAGAATGATAGGGAACTCTCTGGAATTTTCTTACAACTTCCTCCTGTGCTAAACGGATTTCAGTTTAAAAGAGGTGGTTATAAGACCATCCAAGAACAGTGGTTCGATAGTGTGCTTTTATGAGTGCTCGTTTCAACGAAAGACTTCAATCTCACACAAAGCTTTCTTTGTTAGAAAACTTTCTGTAGAGAGACATCACCCATGACTCATTCATTCTCCTGGGCTGGAGACCCCTGCCCTGCAGTGGTCATTGAGGACATGATCATAGCTATTCCGGGGACGCCCAGATTATTAAGTCGACAATGCTGTCTTCCAGCAGCGTATATACCACCCAGAGAAGCATATACACACACAGATACATTGTGGCAGGGGCTATAGAAGGAAAAGCAGACACACATAGATACATTGTGGCAGGGGATTTACCAATGGGAGAAAGCAGACACACGGATACATTGTGGCAGGGGCTATACCACCAGAAGCAGACACACACAGATACATTGTGGCAGGGGCTATACCCTGGAGAAGCAGACACACAGATACATTGTGGCAGGGGCTATACCACCAGGTGAAGCAGACACACACAGATACATTGTGGCAGGGGCTATACCCTGGAGAAGCAGACACACAGATACATTGTGGCAGGGGCTATACCACCAGGTGAAGCAGACACACACAGATACATTGTGGCAGGGGTTAGAGAGAGAACTCAACAGTCATGGCTGCTGGCTGCTGTTCTAAGCCAGGGTGGGATTCCCATCACCCATGTGGTAGCTCACAACCATCTAACTCCAGTCCCAGAGGATCTAATGCCCTCTTCTGGCCTCCTTGAGCAGTGCATGTGTCTGCCTCTCCCTTCTCTTCTGCTGCTCCTGTCCCCAGAGGCTGGTCTCCCTTTTCCCCTCCCCCCTTTTCCCATTCCCTTTCCCCTAATAAAAATCCCCTCCCCCTCCACGGGAGGTCTGTTGCATGGCATCTTTCTCTCTTGCGCTGCTTTTTTTAAAATATAAATTGCAACATTTACACATATACATAGAAAATAAAAAAATGTTTTAAAGGTCATGTGGCTAGCATACCCACAGAGCTCTGTACATCATGCCCATCCCGAGTATATGCACAAAGCAAGGTAAGCATAAAATAGAATCCACAGCAGTGAAAAGCACTGTAAAAGCCGGAAGCATGGCTCTCTTCAAAAAACTCTGTCTTCATGAAGGGGAAACAACATTAAGTGGCTTTATTTAGTTGGATACATCCCAACTACAGCTCCACTAGCAGAAGCTATGAAGCCACTCAAGATGAACGGGACTTGCAAATGTTGGTGCATTCTGCATATTTTAAATGCTAATATGACTTGACCACAGATTCCTCTGTTGCAAGCATAAGTAATGTGATATTTAATAAGCCGGTAAAAGAGAAGTTATTATGTAACTCGATGCTCAAGTTATTTTCTTTTCAAAAAAGAATATGACTCATTAAAAACATCAAGTAAGTCATCTTGGACATAGCCTTTAGCACAGTGCCCGGGTCAGAGAATTGTGAGTGAGTGAGTTGTTCAGTCTCTAAGAGTTAGTGGGAACTCTTAGATTCTAGTCTTGGCTCTTTTGCAAAGTAACCATATGCCATAGGTAGTTGATTAACCTCCTTGAGGTTTATTTCTTATCCAGTACAATTAAAGGCAGGGTTTATTGGAGAGTTCCAACTTCA